CCCATGAGAGTTCCTGGATTGCACCTTGAGAATTGCTACTGTTTGGATAAGAGACAAGCTGGTCAGAGCAGTCTGCATCCTGGTTCCACCACTTACATGACCTCACCATGTCTCAATTTTCCCTCTGCTGAATGGAAACAATCAGGTAACCTACTAACCTACTTCACAGGGCTGCTACGAGGATTCGGTAGATGAATAAGCACAAAGAACTCAGATGATACCTGGCACTGGCACAGAGTAAGTTCTCAGTAAGTAGTAGCAATGATGATGACAATGATGATCACATTTGCTTACCTGAAAATAAAACCACCTTATCTTGATATGATGAACTTTCAGTAATAATATAACATAAAGCCTGAAAGTTGGATTCCTTGTGAAGACATTCCTCTTACTCTCTCAGCTGGAAATAACTTCTTTCAATATTGAATTCCCAGAGTACTTTTTCAGAGGGATCTTTTTCTTGAAGTATAGCACACATACAGAAAATGTCACAAATCTTAAGACAGACTGATGGATTTTCCCAAAGTGAATGCACTCACCAAAGCAATTTTATTCATACCTCATTTATTTCAAATTATTGAGCACTGAAATTCTCTCATCCAGAGCCTAGGTAATCCCTTGCACATAGTAGGTATATAATAACACTGCTGAATGAGTGAACTGTATGCTGTTTCTAAGAGACTCACAACCTATTTAGAGTATAAATAGGTTGAAAGTAAAAAGATGGAAAAAGATATTCCATGCAAATAGTAACCAGAAGAGAGCTGGAGTGGCTATTCCAACATGAGATAAAACAGACATTGAGACAAAAGTTGCTATAGAAGACAAAAGAGGACATTATCAGCTATACTTCAATAAAAAAGGACCTTATATAATGATAAAATGGTTAATCCAGCAAGAAGATATAACAAATATTAACAAATATGAACCCAACAACAAAGTCCCAAAATATATGAAGCAAAAACTGACAGAATTGAAGGGAGAAATGGACAGTTCAATAATAGTAGTTGGAGATTTCAATATTCCACTTTTAATAACAACAGCAGTATTAGAAGGTCAATAAAGACACAGAAAACTGGAACATTATAAACCAACTGGACTTAACACACCTACATACAACACTCCGTTCAATAATAGAAAACACATTTTTGTCAAGGACACATGGAACACTTTCCAGAATAGACCATATGTTAGGTCACAAAAGTCTCAATACATTTATAAAGACTGAAGTCATAAAAAGTATCTCCTCTGGCTACAATGGAATGAAATAAGAAATCAATAACAGATGGAGATCTGGAAAATTAACAAATACGTGGGAATTAAATAACATACTCTAAAACAATGAGTCAAAAAAGAAATTACAAGGGAAATTGGAAAGTACTTTGAGATGAATAAAAATAACACAATATATCAAAGCTTATAAGAGACAGTGCTCAGAGCAAAATATATAGTTGTAAATGCCCACATCAAAAAAGATCTCAAATCAATAAACTAATTAAGCTTCCACCTTAAGGAACGAGAAAAAGAACAAACTAAACCCAAAGCATGCAGAAAAAAGGAAATAAAGATTAGAGTGGAGATCAATAAAGTGGAGAATAGAAAAACACAGAGTAAGAGAGAATGAAACCAAAAGTTGGTTCTTTGTAAAGATCAATAAAATTGACAAGTAGAATTCAATGAACGCTTGTATGCCAACAAATCAAATAACCTAGATAAAATGGATAAATTCCTACAAACACACAAACTACCTCAAACTAACTCAAAGAAGAAATGGAAAATCTGAATAGGTCTATAATAACGAAAGAGACGAATCAATGTTCAAAAAACTTCCAACAAAGAAAAGCCCAGGGCGAGATGGCTTCACTGGTGAATTTTATCAAACATTTAAAGAAAAATTAGCACCAGTCCTTCCAAACTCTTCAAAAAATAGAAGAGGAGGGAACATTTCCTAATTCATTCTATTAGGCCAATAATATACTGACACCAGAGCCAAAGACATCCTAAGAAAAGAAAATTCCAGATTAATATCCCTTATGAATATAGGTGCAAAAATCCTTAACAAAATACTAATAAGCTGAATCCAGCTGCATATTAAAAGAACTATACACCATGACCAAGTGGGATTTAGTCCAGGAATGCAAGAGTGGTCCACGTACAAAAATCAATATATGTAGTGTACCACACTAATAGAATGAAGAGGGGAAAAACCACAGTCTCATCTCAGTGAATGCAGACAAAGCATTTGACAATATCCAACACCCTTTCATGATTAAAAACACTTATCAAATTAGAAATAGAAGGAAACTTCTTCAAAAAACTTCTACCAAAACCCACAGCTTACTTAATGATGACCCACTAGGATCATGAACAAGACAAGGACATCCATTCTTGCCAATTCTATTCAACAATATCCCAGAGGTTCTAGTCAGAGCATTTAGGCAAGAAAAAGAAATAAAATGCATCCAAATTGGAAAGGAAGAAGTAAGAATTTCTCTATTCAGGGATGACATGATTTAATATATGTAAAATCCCCCAAAATACAAACACACACACACAATTAGAAGCAATAAAATCAGCAGAGTTGTAGGAGACAAGATTAACAAACAAAAACCAATTCATCCAAAAATGAAATTAAGAAAACAACTCCATTTACAATAGCATCCAAAAGAATATAAAATACTTAAAGAATAAATTTAACCAAGAAGGTGTAAGACTTTTACACTGAAAACTACAAACCATTGTTGAAAGAAATTAAAGAACACCTAATAATGGAAATAAATGGAAAGATACCCCATGCTCATGAACTGGAAGACTTAATATGTTAAAAGGGCAACATTTCTCAAATTGATTTATAGATTCAGTGAACCATCTATCAAAATTCCAACGCCCTCTTTCACAGAAATGAAAAAGCTAGCCCTAAAATTCATATAGAATTACACTGGGACCCTGAATAGCTAAAACAATCTTTATACAGAAGAAGCTTTGTTTTTTTTTAAAAAGTCTATTTTTCTATATAGTGGCTAACATTTGTAAATCTCAAACTCCCAAATTTATCCCTTCCCACCCCCTTTCCCCAGTAACCATAAGATTGTTTACGATGTCTGCGAGTCTGTTTCTGTTTTGTATATGAGTTCATAGTGTCTTAAAACAATCTTTAAAAAAAACCCCAAATTGGAAGCCTCACACTTCCAAATTTCAAAACTTATGATCAAACTAGAGTAATCAAAATTGTGTGTTACCAGGATAAAAATAGGCACATAGATCAATGGAATAGAATTGAGAGTCCAGAAATGA